CTATCCCACGGCATTAGATAAATATTTCTGTGAAATGTGGTTATTCTCTTTACACACAGGGCAGTGCACAATTGTGCAGTTCTATAGTCTCTCGACATCAGTAGAGGATAAGGGGTTTGGAGTTGTGAGAGAGAGACATTGTTATTTGATCCTGGAACCTTAGTGACCGTGGTGCTGATTAGAGCACTATAATGGTCATACTACGGCTGTCTTTCCACTGCCAGGCCAGTACTACACACCCACATATGTTAATTCGGCTGAGTAAGAGACGCCGCAAAGAATTGTGGGCACGCAACTACATTATTGCAGTTTGGTTTTCAGATGTTGGGGGCCCTGTACATGCTTCTATTTATTGACCTTCTCATTTATATACAGCATGTAACATTGATGAGTACACTAGCTGACTACTGTACATGTTTAGACACTCTTCCTGTGCTATCTTCTTATATTTACTTTTGCATTTACGCACCCTGGCACTTCATTCGTGTGCGGCACACTTTTGGATGCAAGCATGGACTGTCACTTGGCTAGTTAGCAGTAAAGTGATGATAAAATAAGTGTATATATGGTGAAAAAAACAATATAAGACAAAGTGCTACAATCACCAGCAATGTGGGTCACTCCACCTCACATAAATAAATGGTTAAAACAGTAAAGAATGGTGAGAGCACAGAGAAACAATAATTACCCTTATATTCAATATAAAACCTGTAAAAACACAATGGGAAAAACAGGCATAGGGTAATAACGTACAAATAATATATGAATGAGTGAATACTTGAATAAACTCACATATTCATGAGCCACTTAATATGAAAGCTGGCTCAGACTAGGAACATTGAATGGATTTTTTGCTGCTACACCGAATAAAGGTTTTCAGAAAGATCCTGCATCCTGGATTTTGTAAAGCAAGAAGGAGCAAGCAATTAAGCAGTTGGATTACAACGACCACCTCACTAATCCATTCAATGTTCCTAGTCTGAGCCAGCTTTCATATTAAGTGGCTCATGAATATGTGAGTTTATTCAAGTATTCACTCATTCATATATTATTTGTACGTTATTACCCTATGCCTGTTTTTCCCATTGTGTTTTTACAGGTTTTATATTGGATATAAGGGTAATTATTGTTTCTCTGTGCTCTCACCATTCTTTACTGTTTTAACCAGTAAAGTGATGATAATTATATTTTTAGAAAGCTAATTTCTATGCTTTTTTTTGTGCTTTTTAAGGTTGGCATTACTTCAAAAACTAGAGGAGCATGGATACTGAATGTAAATTTTCATGTTTTGTTTTATTTTTTAAATGTATTTGTTCTTTGCTTATTGCAGGCATTATGTGGTCCGAGGTCCTGAGATGACACCTTATGAAGGTAAACTACTGATCACCAGGGTTTTTTTTGTTTTTTTTGTGGGGAGGAAGAGGGATGGGCAAATAATCATGAGCAATTAAAGGAATTCTCTAGTGTAAGGAATACACATACAAAGTTGTATTCCTTTCACTATAGTTCCTTCTAGCCACGTGCCCCCTCCCTTTACTGACACTTGATGTCTGCGTGAGGACTTCCAGTGTCAGGCGACTAAAAGTCACATAGCCACCAGGAAATGCCTTTAGTGGCTGTCTGCCACTAAAGGCAGTCGTAGTTTCTCATAAATTGCAATGATTTACATTGCAGGACTAAGTGGAAATGGGACACTGCAACCATACCACTTAAATGAGCAGAAGTGGTCTCGGTGCCTATAGTGTTCCTTTAATACAGGGGTGCCCAAAAGGTAGATCCACAGATGTTTTAAAATTACAGCTTACTTGATGCTTTGTCTTTCTAAAGGCATACAAAGCATAATGGGAGTTGTAGTTCTATAACTTCTGGGGATCTACCTTTTTGGGAACCCCTGCTTTAATAGAAAAAAATTAGGGTCCAAGCAGCAGATATACAACTGTTGTACATAACTCCTCATAATATGCAAGAAGCCACAGGAGTTGTTATCTAACTGCTAAACGCCAAATGCTATCCCCTGCTTTATTGCACTTGGTGGTGACAACTACTGATAACCTGTGTATTACTGAGCATCTATATATCCTTTAAAAACACCTCACCTAGGCAAAAATAATGTGGGTTTAGTTGCAATATATGATCATACATTGCATAAGCCTGTCACAACGTCAATGTACCACATTCTTGGCAGTTCCTACTCTGGCAGCCTAATTCCTGCTCTTATGAGCTTACTCCACTTACTTGGGAAATTCTTCCTCCCGGACTCTCTGAAGTACTAGGTTAAATAGGGTTGTGGAAGGGGTACAAAACTGGGAAGTTGGCCTGCACTCCCAAATATATTTATATATGATACCAAGAGGGCTGCACTCCCCTGAACATGCATACATTATAAGGGTGCTGCTGGAGCCAAATCATACAACATAGACGATCCAGCACACTCACTCATTCACTAAACAGCAATTCCAAGGTTCACAGAGTGTAATAGTTTTATTTATTTTTATCATTTTTTGAGATATAATTTTTTATATAAATAATGTCCACCTCTACAAAACAGCAGTTAGTGAAGTACACTTCACACGATGCTCAGCCAGCCTAAAGTGTCAAAATTAGCCGACACTAATATAGATGTGACAAACAAGTGACATTTGGCACTGTGAATAACTATTTATTTAAAGAAGTGTCACTTTCAGATGCTTGTTGCCACATTTGCCAAAATCATTCAATATTTGTCTTATTTCTTTTGATTTATGGTGTAATTTCTATGGAATTCCAGTGCAGTCTGAGTCTTTCATTAAAATTTTCTCTTTATAAAACTCCTAAATTACATTTCTGCTTTAATGTCTGATGTGTGTGTGTGTGTGTGTGTGTGTGTGTGTATATATATGTATGTATGTATGTGTGTGTGTGTGTGTATATATATATATATATATATATATATATATATATATATATATATATATATATATATATATATATAATAATGTGTGTGTGTGTGTGTGTGTGTATATATGTGTATGTATTCTATCTTCATGTAGAATATTTTATTTTTTATTCTGTTGTCCCCCAGGTGGATATTACCATGGCAAACTTGTATTTCCCAGAGAATTCCCCTTTAAACCACCTAGTATTTATATGATCACCCCTAATGGACGATTTAAATGTAACACACGGTAAGGATTCCTAATTTAGCTATTTCTTTTATGCTTTACTATAGGATTGCCTTAATATTAGATATGTTTTGGTTGCCTATGTATTTTAGATACTCTAAATGTGTACTGACAAATATATTCAAAAGGCAGAGGAAGGCAAAATATCAACTGGCGCTATTGCAAGGACTGTGATTTTAGTATAGTTTTGTTATACACTGCCTGGCCAAAAAAAGTCACCATAAAAAAAAAAAGGTCTTTAGCTTTGATTACGGCACGCATTCGCTGTGGCATTGTTTCGATAAGCTTCTGCAATGTCACAAGATTTATTTCCGTCCAGTGTTGCATTCATTTTTCACCAAGATCTTGTATTGATAATGGGAGAGTCTAACCACTGCGCAAGGCCTTCTCCAGAACATTGAAAAAGTTCTCAATGGGGTTAAGGTCTGGACTCTGTGGTGGCAAATCCATGTGTGAAAATGTCTCATGCTCCCTAAACCACTCTTTCACAATTTGAGCCCGATGAATCCTGGCATTGTCATCTTGAAATATGCCCATGCCATCAGGGAAGAAAAAATCAATTGATGGAATAACCTGGTCATTCAGGCAGTCAACTGACCTCATTTTTTTTGGGCGCATGATGTTGCGGAACCTAGACCTGACCAACTGCAGCAACCTCAGGTCATAGCGCTTCCCCCACAGGCTTGTACAGTAGGTACTAGGCATGATAAGTGCATCACTTCATCTGCCTCTCTTCTTACACTGATGCGCCGATCATTCTGGGCCAGGGTAAATCTGGACCACATGATTTTCCTACCGTTGTTCCAGAGTCCAATTTTTATGCCCCCTAGCAAATTGAAGCCTTTTTTTTCCGATTAGCCTCACTAGTAGTTTTCTTAAGGCTACACAGCTGTTCATTCCCAATCCCTTGAGTTCCCTTTGCATTGTGCGTGTGAAAATACTCTTTTTTTGACTATTAAACATAGCCCTGAGTTCTACTGTTGGTTTTCTACAATTTGATTTCACCAAGCGTTTAAGTGATCGATCACGACCAATCAGGATTTTATCCGGCCACTATTCTTCCTCGAAGGTGATGGTTCCCCACTATCCTTCCAGTTTTTAATAATGCGTTGGAGAGTTCTTAACCCAATTTTAGTAGTTTCTGTAATCTCCTTAGATGTTTTCTCTTGATGCATGCCAATGATTTGACCCTTCTCAAACAGACTAACATCTTTTCCACTACCACAGGATGCGTCTTTCGACATGGTTGTTTAAGAAATGAGAAACTACTCATTGCATCACTTGTGGTTAAATAACTTGTTTCCAGCTGAAAGATGATCACCCATGCAGTAACTATCCAATAGGAGGCTTTTACCTATTTGCTTAGTTAAATCCAGGTGGCGACTTTTTTTTTTTGGGCCAGGCAGTGTATATAGTCAGTTTATTTTAGAGTATTGTGGAGGGGGATATGGTAAGTGCAGCAGATGCAGACATGTGGGTTAAATTATTAAAATCAAGAAATATAACTGGCTTTCCCCTTATGTATTCTTCCCGCAGTCTCTGCCTTTCAATAACAGACTTCCACCCAGACACCTGGAACCCTGCATGGTCGGTCTCTACAATCCTAACTGGTCTGCTCAGCTTTATGGTGGAAAAGGGACCCACGCTTGGGAGCATAGAAACGTCAGACTTTACAGTAAGCATCAATAACTCCATCTGGAAAGCCATTTGTAGATTTTGTATTTTTATTTTGTTTTAAAACGGAAACTTCACATACCATAACAATTTATAAGTTCTAATGCAAGGATGTCCCCTGTCCTTTCTCCGTTTTTTACAATTGTTTTAAATACACGTTTATTCACAGTACAGTATCCAGAATTCTTCCTATACAAAGGAAGGAATTGCAAGAATTCAGTAGAAAAAGAATCATGAACATGGACTTGAGTTTACAGTTATGACATCCTTAGTGAGCACTACAGATTACAGCATTTGCCAGATTAGAGCGCTCTAACATCATGTATACATAATAGTGTGAGAACCGTTTGAACTGTAAAAGGTGAACCGCGTCGGCTCCGGTGAGCTAAACATTGACCATCTCCCTCTGCCATCCAAAAAATCTTACCTAAGGCCATCTGATGGTTGTCAAATGTCTCCATACTTATCCTAGCGATACGTGGCCTTTTGTGGGTACCATAGTTTTGTGTGTACCAGTTATTAGGAAAAAAAAGTAACTGGTGCAGTAACTGATATCAAATAGTATGTAAACACAAAAGATGCAACATGTATGTATGAGCAAAAAGTTGATTCCAAACCAAATATAATATAAATGACCTAATATGGATGGTAGTGCAAAATCATATGTTTCCCAAATATTGGGGGGTGGGGGGGAAATGGGTGGTATACACCTTAGTGCTCTACTGTAGAGGGACTTTGGTGGTATCAGTGTCTGGCTTATACATCAAAGATGATGGTAACAATTCTATTTTAATTCTATATTGTAAGGAATCAGTTTGCACACTGTAGAATGTGACAAATTCCAACTTGTTTACTAGACCCATTAGGTGGTACTGTCATTCTAATTATTATTGAAGGAGATATTGGGTGCAGTTGTGAGGAATTCAGTAGATAAGTTTATAATGCACTTTAGCAGCAGCTTGTACAGTGCGATGTTATCTCCCCATAGTGCTCCGGGTACACTTCTGCACTCTTGTACATTTACTGAGAAATGCTGTAGAACAGCATTCACACTCTTGTCACAGTGAGGGACAACTTTATTTTCTTGGAATATCCTGGCTGTGCCAAGCAGTCAAGAATACAATTTTAAAATAGTCTGATTTCTTTTTTTTTTTTTTTTTTTAAATAAAAATACAACTCATTGCTAATTTTTTTTCTGACTGTGCAAAAATCTCTCATTACAGTGTCCTTTTAAGGTGGTTTCACAAGAATGAGTTACATTTGCTATCCTTGAAAAGAAGAAAGAAACCCTGAATAACGTCTATTGATTTTTCTTTTTTAAAAACTCCTTATGCTGTTAACTTTGCACAGAGCTTTACGTCTGCCACACCTACACACTCACACTCCCTCTCCTCCTCTTTCATATAATAACTATAACTGTTTTCCTGCCTCTGACAAACTGTTAATATGCAGTTTTTTTTGAGTGAGCTGGAACAGATGCTTTTGTTTGTTTGTTCCATTGAAAACTGAAATAATATTTGTATTTTGTATGCTTCACAGAAACGACAACTAGCAGCACAAAGTTTAGCATTCAATTTAAAGGACAAAGTTTTTTGCGAACTGTTTCCAGAAGTAGTAGAGGTAAGGCTTCGCCTCGATCATAAACAACCAAACAAAAAGAAACAAAACTTAAAATTGTAGATATTCGTTATGTCTCCCATTTGGTACATATTCTCCAAACGGTACCTGGAATAATGTGTATCTGATGTCATTCGCACTGCCTCTTGCTGAGAGAGAATGTATGTGCTGACGGGTTATGCTCACCAGCTAGAAACACATACATTTTGACACGATCTACAAGAAAACAAATCTTAGAATTGTGTTTGTATCTAGACCCTGGAATGAGGCATTCCTTCAAGCTACTATGGTAACATAGTTGTTTATCAATAAAAGTACAATGCATGGGATAAATATATTCCGATTCCTGGATTTATTATCCAAACTCACCCTTTACCCATTATAACCAAACTTTGCTAATTAATTTAACATGCAAGCTTTCTGAAACTTGATGATAATAGCGGGATTTTACATAAAATTTATCTGTTAACCTCTGCTCACTATCTATGTATCTATTTTTCTTCTTCAGGAAATAAAACAGAAACAACGGGCACAGGAAGAACTTAACAACCGACCACAGACTCTTCCACTCCCAGATGTTGTGCCAGACACAGAAGCTCACCTCGTGCAAAATGGAGCTGCAATTCTAAATGGTCACGTTCCTTTGGCAGCCGGAAATCATGCTGGTCTGCAACAACCAAACCGTAACCATGGACTTCTTGGGGGTGCATTGGCTAATGTCTTCGTTATAGTGGGATTTGCAGCCTTTGCATACACAGTTAAGTATGTACTGAGAAGCATAGCTCAGGAATGAGAGGTTCATCTGAACCTCCCAAGAAGAATCAGAGACCAAACTAGCGCTAGTCAGGAAGAAAAATGAACTAATAGGAGGAGATGGACTCATTCAGCGCCATGTCTGGTCATAACTATTTGCGCTACACTCGTACAGGTGATCTTTCAGTTGGCTCATGGGTTTATAATTCTTTTTAGAACGTGAGAAGAGTGCGTATTTTTCCATGGCGGCAAAGAAAAGTAAGAGAATCTGTTCTGTGTTCAATAGTCTTTTTGGTTGTTTGTTGATGGCTACCAGATGTCCTCATTTCTACAATCTTTACCATCTACTTTAATACAGAAATGAATCACGTTTTAAGTAAAGTAAGTTGTAGCTCCTTTTTTCCTTTATTTTCTTCCTTCCTCTTAATCATCCTAAATGCTGCAAGGAAATATCAGACAGCTTTTCTGTGACTACCATCTTACTGAGAAGATGAGCCAGGGCTTATTAGACTGCCTTTTGGTGACCAACAACTCTCATAGAAGATGCTGGAGCTGGATACAGCTGTTCTGTTTTGCCACCGTTCTTAGAAGATTACATCTGGGACTAATCTAAGCTTTCTTCATTGCGTACCCACTACACCATGTCTGCCACAATGCATTGCCTTGTTTTGGAAGGCAACCATAAAGTGATTATAAGTCCCTATATTTAATAATATACTTGTATTCATGTGTTCCTTTTTAAGTTGAGATGTAAATTTTAGATATGACAGCTGGTATTTTAAGATGAACTTTGGAATTGTTATATATCAGTTAATTTATATCCTAATAAAAATGGATATTAACCTAGAAGACTCCACAAAAACCGTTATTTGTTACATGAATGATTCTCCATAGTCTGTTACGTCTAAAAACAAACAAAATCCTGCCATTTTTATTATTTGGTCACAGACTACATTGTAGTAAAAAAAAAAAAAAAAGGCTAATCTTAATCACCCCACGGTTTACTTGCCATACTGTTAGACGAATGTATTGTATTTATTTTTCCAAATCACAGCACTCAAGTCAATGTAGTTTTTCAGAAAAGCGAAATTTGAAAATCTAGTTCCTGCTCCCAAAATGTCTTGTACAGTGAATGTTTGTATTTTTTACAAAAATAGCGTGTATTTTCCATCTTTTCCACTAGATGGAGAAGTATGAGAATTCAGTGAGAATTGTAGTTCTGGCACTACTGTATCATAAAATGACATGTGACGGACATTTTCTTAAAATGCTAGACAGGTAAATAAAAGGTCCAATTTTGGCCAACGGTGTAATCTTGTTCGTAGCTTAATCATTTTGGTGAGTCTGGTACTTTTTGGTTGGCATTATGTAATCCCAAATCTAGTGGACATTATCACTAGTTGAAACTGGTATCATTCAACCCAAATTTAAGACTTCCAGTCTGCATATCATGGACCAATCCTGAACCTGGGCTAGGTCAAGGCACAACATAGTTTACAAATTTTTCGAGTCTATTACTGTATTAGATTATGCTTATTATTTATATAGAAACATTTTCTGCAGTGTTCTACTATTATAGAAAGGGGACCCTTGAAAGTGAAGAAGGCTCTGGTCAAACAAGCTTACAGTCTGACAGGTTTATTTACAAAAGTGATAATTTAACCCCTTAAGGACCAAACTTCTGGAATAAAAGAGAATCATGACATGTCACACATGTCATGTGTCCTTAAAGGGTTAAAGGGAATTAAAAATTTTAGGTCAGAGCAGCCAAACTTAAAAGCATAGCTGAATAAGAGAATGTTTGTTTCCAGTTCGCCAGTACGGTTATTTTGACCTTATATTTAAAATTAATTTTACATTCTCACATTGAATAACACTATATGAATATGACTTCATTTTAATGTCGCCAGATTTCTAGGGGGGTAAACATCCCACTCACTGAATTTTTTTTTATAACAGCGTGATTTATTTTGGTGATTGGAGAAAAAAGAAATATATATATTTTTTTTTTTTTTTGGTTTTTGAAATATATTTATTCTCAAAAAACAAAGTTATTGTGAGGAAACAAATTGTGATTGAAAACCCCTTCCACCTGAAGTCTGTGAATAGTTAATACAATGTTAAACAAAAATCTGCACACCAGTCAAGCCATAAGACTTCCCAAGCACTACCAAACCTCAATAGCACACCAGTAACCAAGCTCATGCTGATGATTTGCATTATACGACCACTGACGTGCATAGGAAAGCATTGAGTAATGCTTTCCTATGGGCGGTTTGAATGCGCTCGCGACTCTTGCCGCGCATACACATTCGGTGCTGGCATCGGCAGAGGAAGGAGAGTTCCCCAGCACCGAGGGAGCCCGGTGCTGGAGAAAGGTAAATGTTTTAACCCCTTCAGCCCAGCAGGATGGGGCTGTGCGGGTGGGGGGACCTAAGGACTACACGGTGCCAGGAAAACAAGTTTGTTTTCCTGGCACTATAGTGGTCCTTAACAATGAAACAGCTGTCCATGAGTGGTTCACTGGCTTTGCATCTTTGCCTTGTGTTTCAAAGCTGTTGTATACAGCAAACACAGACTCAATGGAATGAGGCAAAAATGTGACCCTTTGTTAAACTAATTTGCATATGCCCACCCAGAATCCTTTGCAGTAGTAACATCACTGCAAATTTGTGATTCTTGTGGTAAAAGTAAGTCTTATTGCTTGACTGGTGTACGGATTGTTGTTTAACATTGTATTATATATATTCTAATGTTTTATTTTTGGGGATTGTGTTTTTCTATGTCTAATGCTTGGTGCATTGCTCATTTTCTAACACTTAAAAGAAACACACAAAGCAAATGTTAACAAATTTAAATAAAAATGGCAAAATTTTGAGGTTAAAATCGCTGATAAGGAGTAATTCTCAAATTCTGCTTTAGTTCTAGCTTGGCCATTTTAGTCTCCATGTTACAATTGGGATTTAATTTGATAAAATGATTTAATTTGATAAAATTTGTAGATTTATTGAATAACCATAGTGTGTGCACTTGGGACTCTGACAACTCTTTGAAAGCGGTCACAACAATATAACTTCTAAATATTTTCATAAAGATATCCTCTTTATGAAATCCTCTAATTGACAGTGTTAGAATTTCCATGATAAAAATTCCAAAGTAGAAGGGACTACTTTGTCTTTATGGCAAAGATGGAGGATGGTAGAAGGCAGAGCCTCCACTGTCCAGTTTTTCAATTCCCACAGCCATCATAATTGGGCACCTTCTAGCACATCATCAGATTTGCTCTATGGAAGATCCTGCAGCCTTGCAAGATCCTTCACAGACCTTAGTGTTGTACTCTGGTGTTTGAAATAGAGAAAAGTGATGACAGGATTGGTGTTTGAAGTGTCAGGAGCTGAAGAAAAAAGATGACTGCACCTTCTAAGGTGAGCTTCAGGTAAGTATAGTTGACTTCTGTGGATTCCCTCCTGGCCGCTGCATTCTAAGCTGGAATTTCACCTTTTGGAGGTCATTGCAAACACCCCCTGAAAGTGACAAAGCAGCTTTTAATTACGGAAATATACATTTAAAAAAAAAAAAAAAAAGTGACAATGCGAATCAATTTGCTGTTAAAGTTCTTTTCCAAATTAACAAACAAGAAGTAAATCAATTTAATCATTCCATGCTGTTTTGTTATCTTAGTCTTAATGGGCAATATTGTTTACTATGTTGCGTGTGACCCAGAGAACCAGATGAAGATCCCAGGGTGTTATTTGTGAGTGTTGGCTAACCTTGGACTGTGTTGACTCGGCATTCTCACTATTGTTGACTTCATTTCCAGGATATTGATTCAACATCCTAGAAAAAATTGCCCACAACAACCAAAGTTATGTAAGAGATGTTGGTAATTCGTACACTAATAGTGCATGATTCCGGTATATTCAACATGGTATACCAATCAATGACTGACATTTTTAGTAAATGCTAACTCAAAAGCCACCAATATACTCAAACGGTCTGCCAGGTCAATCAATGTTCCAAGTTTATTACAAAGGAACTCTAGGCGCCAAAACAATTTTTAGCTTAATGAAACTTTTTTGTGTGTGTGTATTGATCATGCACCTGCAGTCTCACTGCTCAATTTATTTGCAATGTAGGAGTTAAATAACTATTGTTTCTGTTTATGAAGCCATATTCGCACAGGAAATATGAAAATAAGGGTTTCTTTTTCTGTTCGGTTATACAATAGTGTGTTTATTTTAGAAGCTTTTTTTTACTACTGTTAATTGAACTTTAATCAAACACAGAGGCATCTGCAGGCATTTAACCGAGCAGGAGATAAGAAATTCTAAATTAAACACACTGTGCAATAAAGTTTAAAAAGAGTTCTCTCTTTACTGGAAATGTGCACAGAGGTTGTCAGGGGTGTTGTTACTGGTGTTGCATAAACAAACTGATTTGACTCCTAATGGCACATAATTGAACAGTGAGACTGCATGGGGCATGATCTATACACCAAAACCACTTCTCTAAGCAAAATGTGTTTTGGTACTTGGAATGGAAAACATTGGAACTCTGGTAGTGCCAAAAGACTTATTTTTTTATTAAAAATACTTTCTAATTGGTAATGCATGTTATGACTCACTGATTATTGCTATTCAGTTACAAATCTAGTAATTGTGCAAAATAATCAAAACTATGATCACTTTTTTTTTTTTTTTTTGGTCAAACCAGCGATTTTAGATATATTAGATATATTGAGTGTGACCCATAATCCTTTGCTAGCTATATATCAGGTGTAGTCCACTTATGGCTCACTAGCAGTTGAACACAAACCTCACTTTCTTTCAAGCAGACATAAAATTGCTTAATGTGCTCTGCAAGCTTGAATCACCGGAAGTCACTACACTAAAATGGGGTAACCTTATCTGACTACATGTAAGGTCAAGTTCTCTGGATTCCATCATTTATCAGAAACCTCCTTTTTAAATGCCAAAAACAATAGAGAAACTGAAATCTGCCAGTTCACCAGAAGAAGAATGTTGTGTACATGTAATGCTCTATTTATAATTATCTCTGAAACTTGTACTTGTGTCAATTTGTTATACAAATTGTATTTACATATGACTAAAGTTTTGTTCAGACTTTTATTTCATTTGTGTCCTTTTAAGGGACTTGTCACCTCTAATTTATTATGGTTAGCTAGTTATTATCTTCTATAATTAGGACTCTGATATTGTCTGCCGCTCTCTTGGATTCCATAGTTGAACTCTTCTTGAACCCTGGTCCATTTGGATTCTGTCAGTTTCAATGTTAAGTCTACGGAGAATTGGTGAATTCACTTGAACTCTGCAACAAGTATGGTTGCTGCATCTTCTTATAGGGAAAACCCAGGTCCTACTGAAGTGATGTTCAGAGGTTGGTCAATAGACAATGTGCTTAAATCTGTACTGCAAATCAAGGACCATTACGCATAAAAAAATGCTAATGGTGGGACATTAACTATGCGGTTTCTAGTGAAAATGTTTATTGGCATTGACTTGTGTTCCTTTAACTTGTAGCTGAAGCTTAGGTTTTTGGAACAGAGAAGTGCAGGTACAGTACAGGTGTTTTAACCCAATCGGCTATATACAGAAGTTATTTCAACAAAATGTGCACTTCCATTCAACTATATGAAATTATTGATTTGTCTATTCACGCAGACCAGGGAAACTGCACAGAAATCTATCTGGCTTCCTAATCTTAAATCACCCAAACTCACCCTCCCCACTTAAAAGAAAAAAAAACTTCCAAGGAAAGTGCACACAGAGGACTTAATGGTACAAGCAATA